TGTTGGCTTTTTCTTACCAGTAAAGGCGATCACATTCTCCCCATCATCCTCACTACCCCCGCTCTCACCATCTCTACCCTGAGTTAATTCCGAAACCTCAGTTTCACCATCTTCATCCCCTAACAATCCAAAGTTCCCAGAACTAAAGACACTGTTGCTCTTATTGTTCCCACCCTTCTTCGCCTTCCCTTTCTTTTTGCCTGCAAACTGTATATCCAGTGCCTCATCATGCTCTTTGTCATCAATTCTCTCCTCCAGCTGGTCATCATCATCGTCATCTTCTTTTAATCCTCCTTTCTTTGCATTCCCCTTCTTACCCTTCTTCTTACCACCACCAACCGTAGCAGTCTTCTCTTCCTGAACATTACTCTCCTCAGACAACTCTGTCCCAACTGAATACTCATCATCATCAATCACTAAATTCTTCTTCTTAGACTTGCCCCCACCAACGCCACCCTGCGTCGCCCCGGCCACCTCATCATCACGAGCACTCGGCTTCTTTCTACCCATTGAGAGATATCGACGAATACAAATTCTCTACAATATTCTTAACTCTAATCTAGAAACCTAACTTTATCTTCAAAACCCGGAGTCAGAAACCCTAAAAAGCACAAGATTCAATCAAATTAGTCCATGTTTACGAAATTTAACATAAATACACAAGCTTAACTGATAAATTATAAATTTTCTACATAAAATGTTTCAAATAACCAACAGTAGATTATCATCAACGATTTTCTGGCAGAATCATATCAAAATTAACCTATAAGAAGTACCTGAACAATCTAATACTGATTCATATCAATCAGAAATATTCAGACTGAAAAATACCTGGAAAAGTTGGCTCCGATCAGAATATTATCCGAAAGTAAATACAGAGGCCGATAAAAGTTAACGGGGGTTCTGTATCTAATATGATGAAAAGCAAAATTTAGGGAAGAAGTTTTGGTTGAAAGATTGGATTTTAGCTGATGGAGAAAGTAGAAAATACTAGTACTATATAGGCTGCTGGGGAAGAAGCAAAGAAGGGAAATGAGAGAGGCAAAACGAATTCGTAAAGGGTGTTTTTGGGCCGTGATGGTTAGGTCCATTGGAGGATTGATGAGAGTCTACTCGGCTCTTAGGGTTGGGTTTTTGTGGAACCCAAATGAGGATTTCTCTCTCTCTCTCTCTCTCTCTCTCTCTCGCTCTCTCTTCTCTTTTTTTTTCATTTTGTTTTTGTTATTGTTTTTGGTACAAAACTATAATAACGTGAAAGTTGCTTTTTTTATTACCTATATAGTAAAAGAGCGAATGGAATTGCTAAGGGTTGTGATTGTTGTGCTGACGTGGCTGGATTTTATTCGCTGGCTGGTGGTCGTCACTCACGTGGGAGTCGCGTGCTTTTGCTGGGAGGAGAAGTGCAATCATTCTTCTTGTTGCCTGAGAGAAGAAAACTTGGACCTTTGGTTTTTGAGAAGGAACGTATCTCTGTATTGCCAGCTGAGTAAGCTTATTATGACGGTTGCTGATAGTTTGATTGATGACAACTGTTGGGTGATGGGCTCAATGTGGGTTGGTATGATTTGACGATATTGCCCTTATTTTAAAAAAGACAGATGCATCGTTCTATCTTGCTGAGCTCCTTCCTCTCTGCGATTTGGTGTGAAGGAGCTTCAGCTCTGCTCTAGAGAGCTGCCGAAAAAACACTTTTTGTTCTCTCCTTTGATTGACAAGACTGAAACCCCTTTGTTTCTCCGATGTATGCAGTTCAGCTCTGCTTTAGAGAGCTGCCGAAAAAACACTTTTTGCTCTCTCCTTTGATTGACAAGACTGAAAGCCCTTTGTTTCTCCGATGTATCCAGAGGTTTCTATGTTTCAGGTTTCGCTTCTCCCAGCTTTCGTCATCATGCTCCGCGGTAATTGTGCCTCATTTTCATTGTTCTTTTCTGGCCCTCCAGCTGCTTGCTTCCTCATTCTGAGCTGCTGCCTCGTTTCTTTTTTTCTGCTTTTTCTTTCCTTTGTAACAATTGCTATCTTGCTGCCTCCTTGCGTAAGCTTTAATTCCGCTACTATTGTTTGGATTTAACTTCTCCTGCTTGTGTTCCCGTTTCCTGTCGTGCTTATTTTGGTTTTTCCTCACCTGCAATTTATGCCATCCTGAACTGTTACTGTTGCGTTGCCTCTTTGCTTTGCTTTGGCGCTCGTTTTGCTTCTCAAGCGCCCTGCTTAAATTTACCTTTCTGCCGCAGCCTTTCCCCCTGTGTTTTCCATTTATCCTCCTGCCAGTGGTTCTTGCATCAGCCTTTTTTTTTTTTAAACTTTTTGTTCTGCTACTGTTACTACGTGCAGGTTATCTTGCCCCCCTTCTGTTTTGTGATTTCCCCCTTTTCCCCTAGCATTTCTTATATTTTTCCCCACTATACTCTCTGGTGCTTGTTGTCCTGCATTTACTCTTTGAGTTTTCCATTCTTCCTCCTATCGTCATTTCTTGCGTCGCTGTATTTTTTTCCCCTTTTGTTTTGCTGCTGTTGCTACGTACAAGTTATCTTGCCCCCCTTCTATTTAGTGATTTTCCCCTTTTCCCTTGAATTTCTAATATTTTTACCCACTTTGTTCTCTAATGCTTGTGTTGCATTTACTTTTTGATATTATATTTTCTTACCCTTTTTGCTCTCACTGGCTTATTCAGGTGTTGTCCTCTTCTGTGTTGCTCTGCCGTTGGGTAATAAAGGCTTGTTATCTAACGTTAAGGTGCCATTACTTATTCTCCCTTCTGTATGTGCTTTTACCTTGCTTGTACCCAATGATCATTTTGCTACATGCTTTTGTTACCTCATTTTTAGCTGTTGCCGCCTTTACTCAGCCTTTTAACTCCTGTTTTCTTATCTGTTCTGTTCTATGCTGTTGTGTAAGCAGTTGTGCTTTACCTTTTCTTCACTCTGTTTCTTTTCTAATATATTGGCTGAATTCTATGGTGTTGTGTAAGGGCTGTACTTTAGCTTTTCTTTACTCTGTTTTGTTTTGAATGTCTGCTCAGTTCCATGCTGTTGTGTAAAGGCTGCGCTTGAGCTTTTCTTTCTCTATTTTTGTTTGGGGGAACCGGCGTTTGGTGCATGCCTCTCTTATGCCGTTTCTTTGTGTTTCAATCTTGCTAGACCTTTGGCCTCCTTTGTGCTTATTGAGTTAGTACTCTGGCCGTGTATTAGAGGTGTACGTTAGCCTTTCTTTTCACCTGCTAGAATCTATAGCGGTCAGATGGATAGGAATGCTTTGCGCCGCAAAAAATATACAGAAATGCCACCTCTGAAGAAAGCGGAACTTCTGCGTTCCCGAAGGCAAACTCGAGCTTCAAAGAAAGCTGGAAAAGCTTTACCCCCACGTGTTCGCAGGGTCCCGTTAGGATATGTGGAAACTAGTGTGTCGTTCCCAGCTACTCAACATATGCCATGTCATAGTGAGGATCCTGCGTTTGTGCATTCTCAGCCGTTGGAAAACACAAATGCTGTGTTTCCAGCTGATGATGCCTTTGCGATTAGGGAAGGATTAGAATTCATGTCGCGTTGTCCACCTGGTTCCTTTACTGGTTATGCTTCCTCCTCCTTTGGAAAAGAAATGCCTCTACAAAATACACTTGATCCTGAAGCTATACCAGCTTCGTTTAACGTGCAATCCCTTCAGCCATTTAACTCCTACTCTGTAGCGCCGTTTAGCACTATTTGTCTTTCTTAGCTGTCGTTATTTCCCTTGTATCTCTCCAGTTACCACTCTCTTTCTTCTTAACTGCAGCATCCCTGTTCTGTGATAGCCTTGCACCAGTGAAATATCAGAGATCATCTGTTGGTGTAGAGGCAAAAAAAAAACCCCGTTCATAGGGGAAAACATAGGGGCGTAAACTCCCTTCCAAGTGGAAATGAACAACCTGTGAACAATACACATTCTGAATTTATACTATATTCATTTCCTTTCGATTCATCTCTTAAGAACCCTGAACTATCAATTCAAAAAGAATTTGCTCCTGCAAGTAATTCTTTGCCTGCTCAAATTTCAGATTCTACTTTAGAACTAGCTTCCAAAGGTACTGCCTTACTTTACCATATTCGTTAGCTTGCGAATCTACTTAACCGCTTTGACCAGCCTATAAATATAAATAATCACCTTTATGGCCTGGTTTTCTGGAACCCTTCTTCCTTTGCTAACTGATTCTCCTTTAAGGTCCTTAGGCCTGTTTTAGCTAGCTTATTCTGTTCTGCAATTTGCAGACATCTTTCCTGCTCCCACAGAGGAGGTGGCCAGGTCTGGTCCAACACCTGGTTGGTTGGAGATAAAAAACAGAAAAGTACTTCCTTCTGCCGGTCCATCTATTGTCCGTTCTCGCTCCAGAAAACGCAGGACCCCTGAATCTGTGAACAAACACAACTCAGGTTGGGACTTGCTTCTGGTTTGCTTTTGCTATTTCGTGCCTTATATTCAGCTTTGTCCAGATGACCAATCAGAGCTAATAAAGTTGTTCCTGCACGAAATGAAACTGCAGCACAAAAACGAACAGCTGCGCGTTCAAGCATATCTCGCCTTGCCAATATTCCTCAAGTAGCTCTGGTTCTGCCTCATGCTCCTGATTGTGAGCATTGTGGCGCAAAAAGGTTCCATTTGGAACCTCCTTCCTTTTGCTGCTCGAGGGGAGAGATCTCTATCGTTGCTCCTCCAATGCCATATGATTTGAAACGTTTATTCATTGCCAATGATGAAGAGAGTGCCCACTTCAGGAACATTGTCCGCATTTATAACAACAACCTTGGCTTTACATCTTTTGCTGCAAAATATGACTCTGAACTAACAAAGAACACGAAAGGCGTCTATACTTTTCGCGTTCAAGGCCAAGTTTACCACTTTCTTGATGGCCATATCACTTAGGCGAAAGGCCATCTGGGATCCAATTATATTTTTTTGACACTGATGAGGAATTAGCAAAGAGACTTGGTAACTCTGATAAGCTACGCGAAAGCACTTTAAAATTGCTTATGTGCATTCTTTCTAACAATTCTTATGCCCGGTTCTTTAAAGGCCTTAGAGATGTTCCAAACCTTGATGATTTGAACATTGTCCTTAGCTGTTATCCTTCACTTGACAAGCGAGTATATAATCTTCCCTCTGCCTCACAAGTTGCGGCTATATGGACTGAAAGTGACGATCAGTCGTCCGATGGCCGCGCTCATATTCAAGTTTATTCTCGGTCAGTTGGTAGCCATAGGATTCAACATTACTATGGCTGCTATGACCCTTTACAGTACCCTCTCCTTTTCCCTCGTGGTGAGTGTGGCTGGCACCACGGAATTAAAAGACTTAGTAAAAGAAAAAGAGGAGGGGACACATGTGAGGATGATATTAACATCGATCCAGCTTCAGTTAACTCCTCATCGGAGTTAATTGATTTAGAACAGAGAGGCAAGTACATTTCTCTCTTGTTATAAACTGCTGAACCTATCCATTGTATTACATCACCTAATCATGTAGACCGTATTCCCCTTCTTTATAGCTGCTGATCGAGGCAAAACAGAGGAAGGTACTGTATCTGCTAGGGAGTACTACTGTTATAGGTTCCAAATAAGGGACGGTGATGAGTCAATGCTGTTACACACTCTTAGGTTGCTGCAGCAGTTTTCAGTCGATGCTTATGTCAAGATCGAAACATGTAGGCTTGACTTTCATAGGCATCGACAAAACAAGATACGCTCTGAAATTCTGGAAGGGATTCTTGACAGTGTTTCTGTTGGCCAAACCGCTGCTTCTAAAGTTGGTCGTAAGGTCATTCTTCCAGCTTCTTTTATAGGTGGTCCGAGGGATATGAGGCGCCGTTACCTTGATGCGATGGCCCTGGTACAGAAATATGGAAAATCCGACATTTTTCTTACAATGACGTGTAATCCAGCATGGAAGGAAATTCAGGAAAATCTGAAATACCATGAAAAGCCTCAGGATCGGCCAGACCTGCTCGCTAGAGTTTTTAGAGCCAAATTTGAAATGCTTAAAGCAGAAATTCTAAATAAGCAGATCTTTGGCGAGGTTGCAGCGTGTGTTTACGTGATCGAATTCCAGAAACGAGGCTTTCCTCATGCCCATTTATTATTGATCTTAAAACCTGGTCATAAGCTACTTAATCCAGAGTCGTATGACAAAATAGTCTGTGCTGAGTTGCCCGACAAAGATCAATATCCTCACTTGTATTCTCTTGTTGTGAAGCATATGATCCATGGCCCTTGCGGAGCAATGGATAAGTCTTGTCCTTGTATGAGAGATGGAGCCTGCAAAAATCACTATCCAAAGAGCTTTTGTCCTCAAACGACTCACGGTGAGGATACCTATCCATATTATAGGAGGAGAGATGATGGCAAGAAAGTCAAGGTTTGTAGATTTACTCTTGATAATAGGTAGGTTGTGCCTTACAACCCTTACCTGCTTGCTTTATTCGATTGCCACATCAATGTGGAAATTTGTTCTACTCTTAAGCTCGTGAAGTACCTGTATAAGTATGTTTTCAAAGGACATGATCAGGTGAGCTTTAAGATTATTTCCTGTGGATCGGCGGACGATATTGATGAAATAAAAGACTTCCAGAAAGGTAGATGGGTTTCGCCTCCAGAAGCTTTTTGGCGCATTTATGAATTTAGGCTGAATGAAATGAACCCAGCAGTTTACACCCTTCAGGTCCACCTCCCAGACCAGCAATTCGTTTCCTTTGACAAAGGGTTTGATTTGCTACAGTTGCTGGGTAAAATTGACTTTTCTAAGACAATGTTAACTCAATTTTTCCACATGAACAGAACGAATCTCAGAGCACAACATCTGAAATGCTTGTACAGAGATTTTCCTGAATATTTTGTTTGGTCTGCTAAATATAAATAATGGACTGAAAGAAAGCGTCGAAAGGTGATCGGTCGGATGGTGACTGTTAGCCCAAAAGAAGGAGAGAGGTATTATTTGAGGTTGCTTCTAACGCACATTGCTGGACCGACCTCTTTTGAAGACCTTTTGACTGTAAATGAACAAAGGTTAGCTTCGTTTAGAGAAGCTGCTTTGGCTCTTGGTCTTTTGCAGTCCGATGCATGTATAGAGGAGACACTTCAAGAAGCAGTGGCATTTCAGATGCCGTCCTCATTGAGGCTACTATTTGCCACTCTCCTTGTGTATTGTTCTCCGACAAGTCCTAAATCACTTTGGGAAAAATTTGAGTTTGAGTTTTCTGCTGACTATCATCACCAGCAGCCATTCCACGGGTTTTCTTCTCCTGAAATTAGACGAAAGGTGTTAGAAGATATTAACAGCTCGCTTGAACAGATGGGCAAGAGCATTACAGATTTTCACTTTGTCTCTGATGATTTTTCATGCGGTTACGCTGAACGGTTAACAAAGGAAATTGAGAGTGAAAGGAGCTTAACAGTAGCACCTGAGGATCTGTTGTTGCCTCAGATGCTAAATTCTGAACAAAAGCATGCCTACGATCTAATCCTCGCAGCATGTTTTTCCTTAGAAGGTCAGGCATTTTTCGTTGATGGCCCTGGTGGCACCGGTAAAACATTCCTATATCGATCGCTTCTCGCGACCTTGCGATCACAAAACTCATTTCTGAATCAAAGCTTATTTTGTGGGATGAGGCTTCAATGGCTAAACGACACACAATTGAAGCTTTTGACGAATTACTGAGAGATTTAATGGACTCAGATTTACCTTTCGAAGGGAAGGTGGTAGTTTTTGGAGGCGATTTTCGGCAGACCCTACCTGTCATTGAACAAGCAACTAAAGAAGTTCTCATAGAGTCAACCTTCCCCATTTCTCCTATGTGGCCTAAACTACATAAAATCAGGCTTACAGAAAATATGCGAGCTATGTTTGATCCAGGATTTTCACAATTCCTTTTAAGAGTAGGAGAAGGCCGAGAGCCTATTGATGATGAGGGTGAAATAACTTTATCATCAGATATAGTTATTCCTTATTACGATAAAGAGGAGTCTTTAAACAGGTTAGCTAGCTGCATATAATCAGATTTAGTTCCTTTTTTTTGTAGTCATTCCTCCTACTTCCACCATCAATACACTTTCTTTTGCACAGGTTAATAGAAAGCGTCTTCCCAGATTTGAACCTCTATTCTCAAGATCCTTATAACCTGATTAATAGGTGCATCCTTGCTCCAAAAAATAGCTCAGTTGATGAGCTCAATGAAATAATGATTAAGAGATTTCCTGGAAGCCTTCAAACCTATATTAGCTCGGATAAGACAGTTGATCAGCGACACCAAGGTGATTATGAGGATTTTCTCAATTCTCAAGATCCTAAAGGTCTCCCTCCTCATAGATTGCTGTTAAAGGAAAACTGCACACTGATGCTTCTCAGAAATTTAAATCCTGCTGAGGGTCTATGCAATGGCACAAGGTTAATATGTAGAGAACTCGGCCAACACACAATTTCTGCTGAAATTGTTTTTGGCCATCATCGAGGGAAAAGAGTTTTTATTCCAAGGATACCTCTTCAAACGCCTGACAATGACAAAAATGGGATTCCATTCATAAGAACGCAGTTTCCTGTCCGCCTTTGTTTTGCTTTGACTATCAATAAATCACAAGGTCAAACTCTTGACTACGTCGGCATCTATCTCCGAGAACCAGTTTTTTCGCATGGCCAGTTGTATGTTGCTCTGTCCAGAGCTAAGACCGCTGCTAAAGTTAAAATTCTTCTTGTTCCTGGAACATTTGATGGAATAAAAGTGGATTGCAAAACTCGAAATGTTGTCTTTGATGAAATTTTTAGACTAACTCAAGCCTAAACCATTTTCTGCTTGGATTCTACTAAAGTAAGATGGTTATACAGATTTTAAATTACTACATTACTGTGTTTTTTGGATCTCTTTGTTCCTGTTTATTTATCCATCCGCTTGTGTTTTTATAGGATGGCTAACCAACTGCCAATGCGGGATATTATGCCTCATATGAAAAATTGGAGTTGTATCGTCACTGTTCAAGAAAAGCAACAAATCACAAATTCAATGGGGACACCAACAAGAAAGCAGAAATTTATTTTCTATGATTCAGAGGTTTAGCAAAGCTACTGCTCAGTTTTAGATGTAATCTCTTAAGTGCGCTATTGTTTTGCTTTCTTTGTAATGTATTAATTTTACCTCTTTAAGTAGGGATCGAGAGTCGAAGGAATCATCTTCAATGATGATATTCCTAGAATGAGCCAGATCCTGCAGATTTATAAAAAATATAAAATCTCCAATGCTGGGGTCAGGCCTATACCGCCGAAGTTCCAGACCTCTGAGCTTACCATTCAGTGGGTTATCAGCACCAGGACTGTTATTGAAGAGATTGCTACTGATGATGAAGTCATGCCTGTGAAATTCTGCTATTCGAAGTTTACTGACTTAGTTCAGTACATGGATGACAAAACTAAATCAGTCGGTGAGTCTTTCAATGCTTTACTCTTAATGTGTTTACATTCTAAACAAAGTTTTTTTAATCCCTTCTCTGTATTGTTCATAGATATGCTGGGAGTTGTGATTAGTGCGCTTGAGAGGAAAACAGTTATCAAGAATTCAAGGCCATCAGATGTTCAGAAATTTGTCCTGCTTAATGAAGAGTGAGGACTTTAATCTTCAGTTTAGCCAAATGTTCACGCTGCCTTTCTTTCTTTTTCTCTACGGTCATTTTTTCCCAGTCTCTAACTATCAACTTTTATCGCTATCACAGATCCCAGCCTGTTCTATTGTCTCTATGGGATAGTTTTCTGGCTAATGAGGGACAGGAGATAGTGTCTAAACTTCACACCTATCCTGTGATCGTTGCTCGCAGAGTTAAAGTGAACAACTATAATGGTTTGCACCCATTTTACCTTTCGCCATTTTTACGGTTTAGCTTTTGCATTCGCCTCCAACACCTGTGAATAAATGTGTGCATTTTCCCTGTCGTATAGGGGTCGCACTAGGTACTTGGTTTGATTCAGCGATTCTTGTTGATCCACCTATACAAGAAGCAAGGGAACTCAAAAACTGGTACGATTTCTTTTCAGTCATCGTCCTCTGCACACTTCAGATGTAAGCCTTGTCCCCACTTTCAGTCCTAACATTTTTTTATGTCTCCTTTCACCCAGGGCATTGAGGAACACTAAGTTCATTAAAGAGATTGTCGAAAAAAAGGACTACATTAAATATAGTCCGCAGCTATCATTGAAATCAGGCCAGAAAACCACTTTGATTTGTAACATAAATTCATCACAAAAGGTTTGGGACTGAAACATGCTGCCCTGCTTTCATACTCTTTTCGTGTATGATCGTCTTTTTATACTCATACTTGCTCATCTTTTAGACTATATGGGTGAAGGCACACTTCTCTTTCGAGCACATCTTCAAGAAATATTGGTACATGAGCTGCAGAAACTGTTGCCGAGCTACAGCAGCAGACTATCAAGTCGAGTTTACCTGTAACTCGTGCAAAGAGAAACATCCTGCAGTACCTAGGTGCTAGATAGTATACCTCTGCTATATTGCCTTATGTTCATTGCTATCTAATTCTGGTCCACATCAAAAAACATGAATTGCTGCATATTGTGTGTCTATTTTCAGATGCCGCTTTGATGTTGATTTGGCTAATTCCACTGGTGTCATACCAGCTTCAGTATTTGGCGAATTAGCAGAGAACCTATTGACGTTTAGTGCACTGGAAGCAATGCAACATTTTAATGAGGTTCTTGACTCCTGAACCTTGATAATAAAGATATTTAATACAACTTTATTCTTACTTTTCGCTCTCTTAGCAGAATATTGAGCTTCCCCTCGAGTTTGTCCACAAGGAGCTTAAATCAAAGATGTTTCTCCTTCACATCAAACCTGTTCAAACGCAGCTGGCAGATTCAAGGCAGCGCTACACAGTTATATACTACTCTGAAATTGATGATGATGCCGATTCTGTCCAGTTAACAGATGAACCAAGAGATGACTCCCCTTTTCCTAGCAAAGAATCTGAGACTGTACAGCTCCGGGCTGAAGGTAACTCGCAGACGTTTTTTTTTTTTGTTCTCCATTTGAATTTTACTTTCGCTTTAATAATATCGCATCTCAAAAAAATATGGTCACAGGGGATAATACTGCTCGTTCAAAGGTTTGTGTTCAACTTTCTCAGAGGTTTGATGAACCACACAGCATTGAAGCAAATGAGGATGAAGATGCAGAATGCAGCTCTAACAAGAAGCAAAGAATCGACTGACTCGTTGCTGTTGAGTCTTTTGGCCACGAAATCCTTAATTTCTATGATTGGCATGCTATCATCTATTTTTGCAAGGGTACTTATGCATTCCTGGAAGGGTGATTGATGTATTGATGAAAAATGTCCTTTTGTTCATGGATACCCCTTAAACTGCTTTTGGTCTACCCCCTTTTACGTTTGCTTATAAGCTGCAATCAACACCAGTTATGTGTTTGAATTGATGCTTTACAGCTATTATGTTCCTGTCACAATATTCTTTAAATTCATCTTCTACTCTATTTAACTCATTAAATGACCTTGTGGTCAATGTGTTGTCTCTTATACGGCAACTTTTGCAGAATTCCTTTATCAGGGTCTATTCAACTTTTTCCCTGCACATAACTCTCTTATTAAATATCACATCTACTGCTGTGAGCTCCATTTACTCTGCTTCCTGCCTCAGACTTAGTGTATCTATTAGCCTTAAATTGTGTAGTTGTACAGCCTTCAATTCATTTGCAGAAATAGAGCTTCTTTCCTGAGCATAACTGTGTTATACAATGCACTATGCCCTTAATTGTTTGAAACACAATAGATAAAATAGATGCACGGTGGTAGCAGCCCTTGGGTTCCTAGCGTTCACTTCTTTTAATATTAACATGTTCTGCATCTTTGATGCAACAAATCATTAATCTCCTTGTTGACTGTAAAAAAAAAATGACAGCCAACCAGCCTACAAAAAAAAATCATAAAAAAACTGTTAGCCATTCATTGTTTATATATAGCTACTTCTTGAATAGCTCATACATCCAAGGCAAAGCACTGCGAGTTAAGCTGCCTACTTGCTTCCCTTGAGTTATCCCTAATGTTCAGCTGTTCTCTTTACCTGCAAATACTTACATCTTTTACATTTTTTTATTACCTTCTCCAATCACATCAATGGCAGGAGGTTCATCTACCTATGGATTAACAAATAGCAGCTCAATGGCCTATTGTTTTCTACTGAAATGCAATCACAGAGGAGAGATCCAATTTTCTTCTATGCGATGGAAATTACTTGTTAGCAATGTATACTACAGTTATATGCATTCATTTCACATTTTCTATTTTTCTGTCCTAAACGCAGATTCTGCCTGCTCAATTCAAACTATTACTTGCTCAGCACCAGCGCAATACAATCATTCTCAGGCATGGAATTTATAAATGGCCTGTTGTGGTCGGTCAGCGTTCATTCCAAGAAGGCTGGGATGAATATTACCATGAAAACATTACTAACAAACATGATATCTTACTCCTACGCCATACCGGCAATCTCGTCTTTGATGTCATCCATTTTTCGGAGCTGCAGAGACAGGTTTATCTATCTTGGACAGTTCCATTGCCAAATTTATTGCAGGCTCGTGCTTCTCATCCACAAGGTCAGTTATGCTAACCTTTATATCGTGCAGTTACTTGTAGCAAAATTGTCTCTGCTTTATTATTTGCTAAATAAATTCAAATAGTGCAGATTCTATAATAATTCAGCAGTCGGTTGCTTCATCAATAAAACCAGATTTAACCCAAAATCTTACTGACTCGGTTTCCTTCTATCAAACATTTAATACAGCATCCCCGAACACATTGGTAACCTTTCCTTACACTATTTCTTTTTCCCTCTCTCACTGCATTCCTTTAAACCGAATCTCTATATTATGTTCTCACGTCTCACTTTCACTCTTTTGTATTAGAAAATCCCAAGATTTGTCGATCACTTCGTTAATGGACAGAGAACTCCAACACTACTTATTAGAACTGGAGAAAAACTTACAGAGATTGGTGTGAAAGGAAAAAAGCTAAAAACAAATTGGAGAAACTTCGCTCTTCAGCATCAGTTGCAGCACAATGAAGTCCTCGTCTTCATTCCAGAATCATCAACTACCTTCACACTTTCAGTCTTCGATGATGATGGAGTCGAGAAAGTCTTTCCATGGTCTTGCATCTATGAAATTTTTTCTAATTCTCCTGCTTGTACCTAACTTCTGCAGTGTGGTTTTATCTGTAAGCGAAATTCACTTTTCGCTTGAACCTCTCCATCACGCATGTTCAATTTTTAATTTCATTGAACTGCACTTTACATTCCTGCTAAATATAATTACATTGCAATGAAATTAAGCATGCAACAAGTACATTACAAATACCTAACATCTATTATTGCTGCAAACAAACTCAAGAACGCTAACAATTCCGCCTTTCTTTTACCAACTAATTATTTCATTCTCCTAGCAATAAGCTTCGGTTAGGGACCATTTCCGTTGACTGTGAAGATAAATTGTTACACAGGGATCCTTTTTGAAAAATATTAACCCTCTTCATTCTCAATATACACCTATTTCGTACCATGTATCACAATTCCATTCTCCTGTCGAGAGTAGCGCGTTAATTGTTCCAATTATCATGTTCCATAAAAAACAATTGAATCAACCATATACAAACAGTTAAACAGCCTCAAAATGCAAACAATCAATCCTCCACACAATAATCCAACAAAATTAATTGTGTTTACTCATTCTTTAATATTTTAACATCTTCCATTTACTTCTCCGCACGA